CCTGGTCACCCCACGCTGCCTCTGGGTGAATCAAGATGCTCCCAGCCAACTCAGTGCCACAGAGCACCTGTCACTTGCTAACTGGGCACCAAGCTGCACACCAAGGCTGCAAGTCTGTAAAAGTCCAGTCCCTAACCTCAGAGGACTTGCAACCTTGAGAACAGGAAGCTGAGTGCAGCAAAAGGAAGAAACAGCCTGTGTGTGATGACAGATCTGGTGATGAAGCCTCCCTTTTCATTCAGTGCTGGCTGTGTGTCACATGCCACGTTGCAGTGGTTTCCCTCTGCTCCTTACAACCATCTCACATCCCCACTGGACAGACGATGACATGGAGGCCCCCAAGAATGGGGGAAAGTCAAGGAGTCAGCACTTGAAATTATCCAAAGCATCCATGTAGCACATGAACTAGGAGTTCTAGGAGGAACAGGCACCAGGGGGATGGAGAAGCCCTATGGAGGCTTTTCAACCTGGGGACAGCAGCACAGTCCTCGTTTCCCCCAAAAGAGGAACATGCTGAGGCTGACAGTGCAAGGGGACCGCTCTGAGGAAGCCACGGCCCTGGAGGGAGGCAGCTCTGAGCATTCTCCTCCCGGTTCTCCATCTCATTGTGACTGAGCTCTAACCAGGACGGGAGGCTGATAAAGATGAGAGGACATCAGGGAGGAAGAAGGGACACAGGCAAGGATGGCAGGAGCTTATTTCTTCCAACAGGTGGCTGGGCGCCTTGCTGGCCAAGCAGCCCGAGGGCCCCATGGGACTGTCATCCACTTCCCGCGCTATGGGCCTTTCTCCTCCTGCCTCACTCGCTCCCCTCGTTTTCTCTCCTTCTCCTTCATCTTTCCCCTTTCCTGCTTGGCCTTTGGACGAGACAAACAGTATGCCCATGGACTCCGTGAGTGCTGTTGGGTTAGCTCTCAGGAATGGTTCACGGCCAGCAGGCTGAGAGGGGGTGGGAGAGCAAGAGAGAGAGATGCGCTGGTGAAGCTCAAGGACCCGGCCATGTGTTTCCAGAAGGTGGGCTCTGGCGGTTTCACAGTGAGGGGACGGCCACGGCACAGACACCAAGTGTCTGCACGAAGCTCAGGCCTTCTCTTAAGAGCATATGTGTGATGCACAAAGACCAGGGTCCAACATCTCAGAAAATGACCATTTTGCCAGAATGGGATGTCAGCTGCTCTATTTACCCTTTTTAAAAAACTGAAGTCCTTATGATAATACACACTTGACTTTCTTTCCCTGAAGATTTTTAAAAAACTAATGACAATTATTACAGGCATTTCAACATAACTTCTTAAACCTGGGTCTGCTAGCAGTTTTACTTATCCAGAATCATTCTGGAAGCCAAGATGGTAAAGAAAATTTCAACAGATCTCTAGCAACCAAATAGATCTTTAGGTGGTAGTAAATATCTATTACTTCAGTTAGCAAAGAAAGGATGCACAAGAAAATAGATTGGGGGATGGGGAAGATGATTTTTTTAAATACCAACATCGCAATACCTGAGGGGCACTGGCAACCCTAATGGTTACTGAGATTCTCTATAATATCTTGGTCAAGGGCAAAAAGAATATGAACCAAATCCAAAAATTTCAGGATTTACCCCACCAGAATTCAGAACCAGAGAACATGTGAGCTGGAGAGGTGACTGCAGAGGAGCTGGCTGTGGGATCAGGTATGGAGGGGAAAGGATGCAGCAGGGGAAAGGCGGCGGCCCCAGCACCATGCCAGGAAGCTTGGACGGCGCTGCTGCTGCCTGGAGGGATGGGAGGCAACTAGGCCAACACTTACCGCTGCCCTTCCATGGCAGGCCCGCCGCCGGCCTGATGGCGCCAGGAGCCACAGTGCCAGCCTCTCCCTACCCCGTCCTGCCTCACAGTCACCTGCTCATCCGCCTCAGCACCTTTCTTTCATCAAGCTGGTCTAACGCCTCTGAGACTTTGGAACAGGGTTTAGATGCCTGTCCGTGCAGATGTTCAAGTCTCCTAGGATTACAGCACAGGTCAGGAAGGAAAGGAAGTCTGCAGATTGGGAGCTAACACTTCCATCCAACGAGAGCCCAGCAGACCAGGCTGGAGACTGTGAAGAGGGTGAGGGCATTGCCCAGGAACACAAGTAAGAATAAGTTGGGTCCATCTCATGGTTGCGGGATCCAGGGAGAAGCCAGGCAACAGCAGAGTGTAGTAGAGGTAGAGTGTGCAGGTGTGGGGGCGACTGGCTTTTCCTGGAGTGGGGTCCTGAGGAGATGTGGGGGCACTGGCACTGGCTACTGCCATCACCCTTCAGATGCTGTAGCATGACCTCAATCCCTGAGCACTTACATCCGAGAAGACCTTCCAGAATGGATGCTGGGCTTTCTGGCCTGCATCCCTTGGGCAAGTCCCTCTGCTTGGAATTCTGTGACTTGCTTCCCCTGCTCTTTATCTCCCTGAAATCCTAACTATCCTTCAAGTCAGCTCAAGATCCCCCATGCCCCCAGGCGCTGCCTGACCTCATGCTTGCTCTAACCCATGAGGCCACCATGTGCACGCTGCCTCAACGTCAGTCTCTTATGCTGGCCTTCTCCTGCCATCTGAACTGCAGGTCCCTCCTGGGGATGAGTGCCTTCCTCACTCTGGCTCCCTCTTGCAACCTGACCCACGATAGCAGATGTCCTGTGCTCACTGAATGAAACTTGTCCCTGGGTCACTGCTTCTGTGTCACCCACTTCAAGAGCCATGGGAGGCATCTTCAGATTTGACAACTGTGGTATTCCCAAGTGGCAACTCTTCAGAATTCCATCCTGGATGGATGACACAGGCCCAGGAACAACAGGATGAAGATGTTTGGGAATATAGGGGTGCTATGACAGTAATCCAAAGCCCTGTGTCTGGGGCTTGTCTTAGAACCTAACCAGAGGATATATAAAGAATATGTCGGCATTACACTTTGCTAGGGTTTCAGCATATCACATGCCAAATATTCCAAACATTTAGGCCATACTAATGGTTCTCAAAGCACTTTCCTTTCAATGAAATAAAGCCCCTTATCTGCTCATTTACAGAATTGGTGCCAAGAATGTAGTATTACAGATACAAGATGTCTTAACGCTCCCTTATGTCCCAGAGATGAAGACTGTGGCATATGCACACCCGAACTTAATTAAAACACCCTCCAATTTTCTTTCATTCTGTAGCCAACAATCCAGCTCATTTGCAGTCCTCTAACCCCTAACTGCTCAAAAGAGACATTATAGAAACTCTTAGGATAACTCACACTTACTTTCTGTTTACAGAGAGGGAAAAACAGTCGAGAGCTAGGATTGTCTAAAAGCCAAGTCCTGCAAGATTTGTGAAAGGAGCCTGCTAAATGCACCTCCCGAGGAAACTGAGGGTGCTTATGTGGCTGGGCAGGGGAGAGTGTTCAGCCTTCCCAGCATGTGCGGGGTGGCTGAAGGCTCCGAGAAGTTAGGCTGTAGAACCCAAGGGAAAAATGCATTCCAAGGTCTTTGCAACGGTCCTGGACCCTGGATGGCCCTGGGCATGATCTGCCAACCCTGAGCACGGATGGAAAGCAGACAAAACCAAAGTGGGAACCTGAGCTTGGATAAGTCTTTAAAAGTCACCCAGTTCTAACTCACCATTTATAGAGGGAAAAGGAAAGCCAAATAGGATAAGTTGCTTGCCCAACTCTTGTGTGGAGAACTAGAAGCAGAACAAGACTAGAATTCAGAACTCTCATCACTAAGGTAGTGAGAGCAAGAACAGTAACAACACACTTTCTAAGCTTACCACGTGCCCGGCCGCCTCATATGATTTTTTTTAATCCTCACAATCACAAAATATGAGGCAAGTAAAAGTACAAGTGTTCTTCAAAAAGTTTGTGGAAAAATAAAACTAAAAAGTAATACAAATCTTTCCATGCACTTTTTGGAAGTATCCTTGTACAATCCCAAAGGAATGACACCGAGGCCCGGGGAGAAGTGAATCACCCATAGCCAAACTGATTTCAAGTGGGATCTGAACTTGGCCCTATTCCAGAGAGCTTTCCCCTGCTGCTCAGAGTTTCATTTGAACAAATTAAAGGGAGTGGTGGCTGTTTAGGTTCTTGGGGAGATGTAGATTCCAGCGAGAGACTGCGCCCTTGAGTGTCAGCAGCCCCTAAGCTTCAGTAGTACACTGTTTACAAAAGTGGCTGCAAGTGCTCCCCTTCCTGGATCTGCGCCCTGTGCAGTGTGGTTTAGTAGCAACTCCCTTTAGGAAGCAGAGTCTACTTTCCTATTCCCAGAATCAGGGCTGGCCTCGACTTAACTGACTGCAATGGAAGTGACATAGTGCCAGTTCTGAGCTCAGGCCTTGAAGAGCCTTGCCTGCTTCGACTTGCTTCTTTGGAACCCAGCCAGCTGCCATGTGAATAAGCCCAGGCTAGCCTGAGGGAGATGACAGACCATGTGGATCACAGCCAAAGGTCCCAGAGATGTCAGCAAGTCCAGCCCAAACCAGCCATGCCTGGGCCAGGTCAGCACAACCACCCTACCCACCTGTGTCCTAAGCAATGATAAATGGTGACTGTTGTTTTCAGCCACTAAGTCTCGGGGTGGTTTGTTATGCAGCAAAAACTCACTGATACAGCACTCAAACCCCAAGTCACACACTTGGTAAGGCTGCACCCCTCAGCCTTGCTCCCTAGGTCAGGGATACTCCTTTTGAAACACAGAAAACTTGGAGTGCTGATCCAGGGCTCAGTGGGAGACCAGAGTAACAGGGACAGATGGCTCTTCCAGTTTGCGCCAGAGTGGTAATGCTCCAGATGTGGCCATTCCCACCTCCCCTGCAGACCCCTGACAATCCATGCAGCCCTTGATACCCTGGAGAACTAGCCACTCATGCCCTTTCCTGTCCATGTTCAGGGATCTGTGGGAGGGCAGTTGGCAATGGGCAGCACACATGTCTGGGAGGCACAGGCTACCAAGGAATTGTCCTGTTCACGCATTTCCACGCAATGAACGGCAGGGGGCAACTCACCGAGGGCACAGGCAAGCTGCCGTGCCGGCTGAGAAAGGAGTTAGAGACGGACACACTGATGCCCTGAGTGGCACTGCCGTCCTCGGGGGTGAAGGCCACTTTAGTTTGCTGGACACAGTAGGAGACAGAGGAGAAGGAAGAAGCAGCATAGGAGGCCTGCTGGACAGAAGGGACAAGAGAGAAGCGGGGAAGGAGGGAGAAAAGGCAGAGAACAATCAGGCATGTGCAGGGAAAGGTTAAGGAGGCTGCTGCCTAACTCGGCTCAGGGACATTCTGGAGAGGGATCAAAAATACCTACCCAAGCCTACTGGAAAGAGAGGGTACCCTCCTTTACTTCCTTATGAGATTTAAGTTGACTTTCATACCAACGGTGCCCACTGGAGGCAGGCCAGACAGAAGGAGGCCATGTGGGCAGGCCTCATGGAGCTGGGTGACTTGGGCCCTGAGCTGCTCCTCTGTGTGAGTACACCCATGTGGCTTATCACACTGCATCAGAGCTCAGACTGGGTTCGTGCTGCCTGGGTTTGAATCTGGACCCTGCTGTTTATCACCTGTCTGGCTATGGACGTTACTTAAAGATCTCTGTGCCTCAGTCTTCTCATCTGCAAAATGGGGATAACGCTGGTGCCCCGTGTGGGTCTGTCAGGAGGATTAAATAAACTGATGTGTATACAGCACCTGCAATCATGCCTACTACACTGTACGTGGGCCAACAGGCATGAGTAACTATTATTTCCATTTTTGTCTGTAAATATGGGTAATGCCTCCCACATCTGCAAGCAAGGAGGGTGTGGCCGGCAGACAGAATAGCCTGTCTCATGGTACACCTGGGCTCTGTTCTCAGATCTACTTCTCCCTGTGGGTTTGGAACAAGTCTCTCTGCCTCTTTCTGCCTCAGTTTACTTACAGTGGGGATGACAGGAGCTCTGGCGAGGGTCATGAGGAACCACAGGAAAGCTGCAGTGCTTACCTGGGAAGGTGTTCAAGAAGGCCCTTCCTAACAGGCCCCTTACTACTGGCCTGCCAGCTTGGTGTGAGGGGCCAGAGTGCTCCCTTGGAGCAGGTTCTGATTCCACATGCTCATTACGGATCTATCTCCAAATATTCAGAGGCCTGTGGACTGCACAGTATGGAGAAGATGCCCAAGGACAGCCAACAGGCAACAGAAGACACCAGCAGGAGGGACTGAGAATATTTCAATCTCTCAAATGAAGCCTGGCTCCACAATGGTTTTAATCAAATATCTTTTTTTTTTTTTTTTTTTAAAAGATGACCGGTAAGGGGATCTTAACCCTTGACTTGGTGTTGTCAGCACCACGCTCAGCCAGTGAGCCAACCGGCCATCCCTATATGGGATCCGAACCCGTGGCCTTGGTGTTATCAGCACCGCACTCTCCAGAGTGAGCCACAGGGCTGGCCCCATTTGGAGCAATTTAGATTCGTGTTCAGTGTTGTTGGAGTGGGCAGGACAGGTGAAGCACTGAAACCCTGAATACAGCACTGTGACATCACTAACCAGTGGTAGGACTGGAACCCAGGACTCCCAACTCCAAGCCCAGCCCTTCCTCTACTAGACAAAATTGCCTCCAAAGAGGCTGGTCATGGTCTCAAGAGGAAACAAAACAGCTTGCCTGGTCAGCTGGAGCCCACTGATTGTGGAGAGTCATGGGGACTCCTGGGACCAGGCTGAGCCCCAGGCGGCTGCAAGGAGTAATCAAAGGGCATATGTCCTCCAGCTGGCAGCCACCTCCTGGAAAAGGCAGGGCAGCACCTTCACATCTTCCCGTGATGGATACAAGATGGCCCAGCTAGCCACACCGGTCCCCTCTCTTGTTTGAAAGCTACTGGACCAGCCAGCATGAGGACACAGCACACGCAGCTCAACACTCAGAAATCCCCTTCTGGGCGTGTCCTTCCTGGAGGGCGTGGCTGGACCAGAGGCTCCGATTCTAGCACCTGACTGGAGCCACTGGGTTCTTCAACTGGCAGCAAAGAGAAACAGGCTGGAGGTGCACAGCAGGCACACCAACCTGCCTGCTGGCTTGATGCCCAGTGAGCCCCAGTGCCTTGCTGGCTGCCCTCAGTGGGACAGCCACCTCCTGTGCTGCCTGAGCTTCATCATGCACATGGGAGACCTCCGCACCAGAGTTGGGGTTGTAAAGGAGGAAGCGTGCGTGTCTGAAACACAATGGCTCTGTTTAAAGCCATCTTGCTTCAGTGGAACTTGTTTTCATCGGGCCCTCCCTGGCTGAGGCTGGGATGCAAGTCACTCTACACAGTCAGGCCCATTATGTACATTGAATCCCCAGATGGTCACACATAGATGATGCCCTGTGGTCTGATTGAGTCCCTCCTTTCTGGGAGGTCTATGTTGGAGCCAAAGAAGAAAGAAAAACTGCAAGAGACCATCAGCAGAGAAAGCAAACACTCTGAGCACAACACTGTCCCAGCTGCATGGGGCTGCTCTGGAAGAGAGAGGCCCCACTGCCCCCTGGGCTGGAGACAGTGGGGGGGGGGGTGACAGGAGGAAGTGAAAGCACCTATGTGTTCAGCACCCAAGCCTAGGGCCCTAACATGGACAAGAAGAGAGTTAAACTGCCCCCCGGAGAGGATGGTTTTGGTTCCTAGAGGCCTGTTAGGATGGGAAGTCCTGGGCACCAATGGCAATGGCAAGGACGTAAGGCTGGGGGTGCCACTTACCAGCTGCCGCTGCTTGGGAGGGAGGGCGGGTGGAGGGGCCAGCTCCTGCGAGGAGTCCGCTCCGCTGAAGGAGTCATTGAAGCCGTACACCTCCATGAGGAGCTTGTTTTTCTGCTGGTAGATGTGCTCGTTCTGCGGTGTCTGGTAGAACACGGAGGGCTGTGGCTCTGAGTAGTCCTCGAGCAGCTGCATGTAGGCCAGCACTGTGGGACAGAGGGTGCGGGGTGAGCTGATGCAGGTGGGGCTGCTGCACAAGAGAACCCGCACCCCCTCCTCCTCACAGCAGCTGGGTGACTTCCACCCAAAGCGCACTGAGGAGGGTGAACAGTGGAGCACGGAGGGTTTTCAGGGCAGTGAGACTACTCCACAGGATAGCACACAGTGGATACACGTCATTACACATGCATGCAAACCCACAGGATATACACTACTAAGGGTGAGCCCTCATGTGAACTGCTGACTTTGGGTGATAATGACATGTCAATGTGGGTTCATCAACTGTAACAGATGCACCACTCTGGTGGCAGATGTTGATCATGGGGGAGGCTGTGCGTGTAGGGGGGCGAAGGGTAAATGGGAAATTCCTGTACTTCCCAAAGTTCCTGTGAATCTAAAACTGCTCTAAAAAATGAATGCTATTTATAAAAAATCATAATTAGGCACTTCCCTCCCTTGCTGAAAAGCCCTCGGGGTTTCCAGCACACTATGGGTCACCCCCCCCACGTAGGGCTCATGACAGCCACACCCATCCCAGCACCTCTGACCCAGCTCCAGACACACTGTCTTCTTCCAGCCCATGGAACACCCTTTGGGATTTTTGCACATTCTGTTCCCAACTAACTTTTGCTTAGAACTCATCAGCCTTCGTCTCAGCTCCAGTTTGAGTCCTTCTTAGTTCTTCCCAGCTTGCACCTAGGTCTCCTCATCCATCCGATTTTTACTATGTACCTACTACGTGTCTTAGGCACTGACCCAGTGTTGGGCCTAAACCAGGGCCTTATGGAGCAAGTGGGAGTCCTCCGGGAGGACTTTCTGCGTCAGGGAGACAGAACATAGACAAGCATACAGTGTGACAACAGGGGAAACGGGTGCTGAGAGTGCTATTCTAGAATCTGGAAGAGCTGTGAAGCCGAAGAGGAGCCTTCCACACTGAGGCTATGGGCAACGTCAAGTCCCAAGGCCAGGAGGGGGACCAGTAGGCAGAACATATGACAAGGGACAGCAAAAGGAGGCTTGGCTCATTCACCTGTGAGGTCGTGTGGGGCTGTGTCA